AAAGGTATCTGAAAATAAAAATCTGCAAGACCATAAACATTCTTCAATGCCCTGGAAAAGCCACTTTTCAATGAACCATAGAAATTCCAGCTGGAATTTGCATATACTCTAATATATCTAATGCCTGTGAAAAATGAAATCAGGCTACCATCCTCCTGATGCCTTCTTTGCAAGAAACAGTTGGGAATACATTCCAAATGATTTTCTGCCATTGAACTTCCATAATAACACCTTGTCCTAAAGTGATTAATATAATGCTATAAAAATGACTCAATTGGCAGATGAGGTACCTCTGGATTATCCTTCTCTGAGAGAAGACTGACCTTCCAATTCTCTCCCTTGATTATAATATATGTTATTTTAAAAGGAAGTGTAGTGAGAAGATCTTTCACTTGAAATGCTCTTCTGGAGCTACAATCTTGGGACAGAAAAGCCTTACTCCCTTCTGCTGTCTTTAATGCATACATCCATGTTGGCCAGACAGCATATAACCTGAAAGGGAAGAAGGCAGAGACTGATCTTTGAAGAGGCATCTGTGGATCCAAGTCAAAGAGCCCTTCAAGTAGAAACAGAAAAGGCCATGTTTCTGGCTCAGGCATAAATCATGTCAGCTGATGCGGCTGAGGTAAAGACCACTGAAGGTTCATTCCTGTGACGTCTTGATAAGTGAGGAACTTCTTCTTGTCAGGCTCCCGCGGACGGCTGCGAGGGGAGGCTGCACTCCGCTCGCAGTACTCACCCTCCAGCCGTCCGCGGTCCCCTCCACCTCGTGGGTACGGCGAGCGGCATCCTTCCAGCCTCGGATGCCGCCCGCCGTTCCCTCCACGTCCCCCAGCGGCAGCATGCATGACGCTGCACGCTGGGAGACCGCCCAGGGTTATACACGCCGGGTTCAGTCACCTGACCCGGCGTTAAAGGCAAAGTGCCACAATCACAGTGGGAGGTCTAAATATCTCCCATGTGTGATTGTTAATTCTGATTGGAAATCATCCAATCAGAATTAACCTGATGGTTTAAATACTTACCTTCCCTGTTCCTCCTTGCCCTGTTGTGGTCTTTGCTTGTTAGTATTGATTCTGAACTTGTGCTTCTGGTTACGTACTCTCTGGCTTGTTATCCGACTCTGTGACTTTCTCCTACCCTTTGACCTCGGCTTGTTTCACGTTATTCTGTCTTCTGGTTCCCCTTACTCGGCTTGTTTCCTGACTATTCTTTGTGTGCTTAGCCCGGCCACTCTAAGGTCCGGTACGGCACTTTGTGTGTGTGTGTGTGTGTTGGCGTGTTTGGTTCCCCGAATCGTGACATTACAACAGGGCCATAATGGAACCTGCTGACATACCACAGCTTCTAGTTAATCAAGAGGCTAGAATGGATGGCTTAGACCACCGTATGGATCAGTTTGCTCAAGCTTTACAAACCATTCTGGCTCGTACTGCACACTTGCAACCGGCCGTTCAGGAGGCTGCTGCTGCTGTGCCCGAACCCATTCCCACTCCAGTACCTGTTCCCGCTCATGTAGTTCACATGACGCCGCCACAGCGCTACAGTGGTGACCCAGCATTGTGTCGTGGTTTCCTCAACCAAATCGACATCCATTTGGTGATGAATCCACGCTCCTATCCCACTGACAGATCTAAAATTGCCTTTTTGATAAACCACTTGTCCGGGAGAGCTTTAGCATGGGCCAACCCCATTTGGGAAAATACGTCTCCTATGTCCTTTGCTGATTTTCTGACAGCTTTCAGACGCACGTTTGATCAACCCGGTAGGGTTGCTTCTGCTGGCAAGGCTCTGCTTAGGGTCCGACAGGGTAACAGGTCTGTAGCAGATTACACTATCGAATTTCGTACTCTAGCAGCTGAAGTGGTTTGGAATAATGACGCCCTCGTAACAGCCTTTCAGGAGGGTCTGGCCGCTTATATACTGGATGAAATAGCATCCAGGGAATTACCTGCTCTTCTAGATGATGTTATAGACTATGTGATTCTTATAGATAACCGTATTAGAGAGAGGCGTAGCCAAAGACGGTTGGATACACGGGTGTTACCTGCTCTACCCAGTACTTCCCTGCTAGCGTTACCCGCCCCTGTGCAGCCATCCCCTGAACCCATGCAGTTGGGTGCTACAGGGTTAACTGAGGCCGAAAGAGCGTACCGTAGAAGGGAGGGGTTATGCCTTTATTGTGGGAAGAGGGGGCATCACTGTAAAGCCTGCCCTAAACTACAGGGAAACTGCAGCACCTAAGGCCTAGAGAGGGGTCGGCCTCGGGTGTTATGACCTTGTCCCCTCATATGTCCATCTCTAGACCGTTTATTACGGTTTCTCTCTTGGTCAATAAAACCACTATAACAACCAAAGCCCTGATCGATTCAGGTGCGGCAGACAACCTTATGGATGAGACCTTTGCCAAAACCGCAGCCCTGAATTTGATTCGAAAGGAGACACCCTTGGCCGTTGAGGCCATAGATGGTAGACCACTGGAGAAACCTCTGGTGACCCATGAAACCCAGGAAATAGTTATGTCTGTGGGTGTTTTGCACAAAGAGAAGTTAACCTTCCAAATAATTAACTCCCCAACAGCCTCCATCGTTCTAGGTTTTCCCTGGTTGGTTAAACACAACCCTGTTCTTGATTGGGGTTGTTTAGACATACTTTCCTGGGGGGAATCTTGTCAGCGAGACTGTGTGGCTCATGTACATCCTGTCTGTTTACTTAACGTACCCACGGCTAAACCGCTCTCGGTTTCTGTGCCCTCTGTTTATGCGGATCTTGCCTTGGTTTTTGAGAAGAGGGAGGCAGATAAGCTACCTCCACATCGTGAGTATGATTGTGCCATAAACCTCTTACCGGGCACTATGCCTCCTAGGGGAAAAGGTCTACCCTCTTTCTGAAAAAGAGAACCAAATCATGGAGGAGTACATACAGGAATCCCTAAGAAAAGGTTTTATTAGAAGGTCCTCCTCTCCTGCTGGTGCTGGTTTCTTTTTTGTGGCTAAGAAGGAGGGTGATTTGAGGCCATGTATAGACTACAGGGGTCTGAACAATATAACGGTTAAAAACGCCTACCCTATCCCCCTCATCACTGAGTTGTTTGATCGTGTTAAAGGTTCTAAATTTTTCACCAAATTAGACCTCAGGGGGGCTTATAACCTTGTCCGTATAAAGGAGAATGACGAGTGGAAGACAGCCTTCAACACACGCAGTGGGCATTACGAATATCTGGTCATGCCTTTTGGATTGTGTAATGCTCCTGCCGTGTTTCAGGACCTCATAAATGATATCCTTAGGGATCTATTGCATGTCTGTGCTGTAGTATACCTTGACGACATACTTGTGTATTCTCCTGATTTGAAGTCACACCATAACCATGTTAGGATGGTGCTCAAAAGGCTATTGCAGAGCGGACTCTACTGTAAGTTAGAAAAATGTTTATTCGATCAGACCTCTGTGCAATTCCTAGGATATATCATTACTGAACAGGGTTTCAGTATGGATCCTGCTAAATTGGAAGCTATAATGTACTGGCCACTTCCCCAAGGACTAAAGGCTATCCAGCGTTTTATAGGATTTGCCAACTATTATAGGAAATTTATAAAAAACTTTTCACCACTCATATCTCCCATAACGAAGTTGACAAAAAAAAGGTCTACACCCTAGGGTTTGGACTCCTGAAGCCATTAAGGCCTTCGAAACCCTCAAGAAGGCATTTGCCTCTGCTCCAGTGCTGCACCACCTTGATCCTTCTCTTCCCTTTGTTATGGAAGTAGACGCCTGGGAGTCAGGTGTGGGAGCCGTACTGTCACAGAGGTTGTCTTATGACAA